TAGCTCCTCCTTTTTTATTCTTGTGAAGACCTAAACCAATTAATGACAATATACACAATATTAAAAATGTGAAATTCCTTCTATTTTGGAGATACACGTTCAGGTGTTGTGGACTTAGAATCGCATCGAGATTCTAACAGTATCGTCACCCTAACATTTCGAGACCTATGAAGTTATATACAACCACAGTTCAACTGATACCAACCACAGTAGAACTGATTTCCATGTGGTTGTGTTTGTTGCATTATATTTTATTAGGTCACGTTTCGTCTTCATAAACTGATAGTAAACTTATCAATTACACTAATTTGAATATGTAACAAACATTTAACTCATGTTGTAATTACTGCATCAAGAAGATATTACTTTGGCATTGAAATTATAATGTGTTCTTATTTGCCCGTTTGTCGTTTATAAAACAAATATATTGCAAATTATAAATAACTACAACTTATAGGACTAAATTGTAAATTTTAAAATTTCCAAAATTGTAAAATAAGGAACGAAAATTGAAGATTTTTCAGATCTTCTTCCTCGTTCCATTCCGCCGTCCACCTCCCAACCAGGAAAAATTCGGCATCGCCGCCGCCTTCTGGCCTGTCTAGCACCACCGCCGCTCTCTGTCTCGTCTAGCACGACCGCTACCCACCTACTCCTTCAAATTTATCTCCCTTGTCACCGTCGCCTTCTGGCCCGTCTCGCACCACCGATACCCACCTACTCTTTCAAATTTCTCTCGCTCGTCCCCGCCACCGTCTGGCACCACCCAATTCTTAGCGAGAGAGAGTTGTGTATAGGTAAGGTTTTTCTTATCATGCACATAATCGCCGTCGCCGCCGCCTTTGTTCAAATCGTATATATGGGCTGCCATAGGTAGAGTGAAATTGGAGTACAAATGGTACTTCGCGAATTTGGAAAAAAAATAACTACACCTCAAAAAAATAATTAAAAATAATTGTGTATTAAAATTTTGTTTAATTAAATTAATTTCAGTGTTGAGAGAATATTAAAAAATAAATATGTACAGTATATATTTTATTAATTGCTAAAAAATCCCGTAGGGCATTTTTGTCATTTCACTTTTAGTCAATGCCTAAAAACATAGAGGGTGCTGTGAGTTTTGAGTTTGATTACACGAGGGGGCGTTGGTGAGTTTTTTTTTGACAGTGGGGTATTTTCCAATTAGAGATTACAAAGGGGAGGTATTTGCAATAAGCTCTTATTCTCACAGTAAAATATATATAGTGATCAACCGTGAAAGAAACAATATGCTAAACACTAGAATCGAATACAAAATTGAGATGTATATTATAATAAATTCAAACAAAGTTTTATTGTAAAGTTCCATTATAAAATATACCCAAAAATTATATTTTTTTCCCTTGGAGATTAAAGGCTACTGAAGTGGACAATAAGAGAAACAAGATGGTAACGGTCAAATAAACTGATGTAGAATCACAAGGCGGTGGGCATGTAGGTGGATTCATGGTAGTCGCCTAGGGGTTTCAACATCTGTGGTTGGTGCACAAGCATCCGGCTAAGGAGTTGCCGACGAGGGGGTGATGGGGGGGGGGGGTCGCCGATGGATTTGCCCCGCCACCAGCCAACGAGTCTAGTACAGTTACAATTTAATTTCTGCCTGAATTGGCCGAGAGTGCAAATTGGCCGAGAGTGCAGATATAGTGGTGGTCCTCGGTGCCTTATAAGCTCCTCGAGGATTGATAATGGCACTTATCTGATAACACCATAAAATTAATAACACCTCATTTCAAATGAAATAAATCATAACCAAAGCATAGGGTAATGATACACAACATCAACAAGAAAAGTTTTATGAATTAATGAACAAACATGGACCTCGTAATCTTGTTAGATGATTTCATATTCTTATCATACCATAAAAGATGAAATAAGAGTACATCAGAACATTCAACATGATAAACAATACCAACAAAAAGATTCAACTAATAATGATTAATAAGCCTATTCCCCTTTTATTTTCATCGTGCTACAAATGAATGAAACCTCCAAAATATACCTGACTAATTCGACATTCCTGGAGCTTTAGCAATAGCCACAAACTAAGAAAAAACCTCTTTATTTTTAAGAATTTCTTTGTGTTCTTCATCTTCGTCAGAAGAGTCGCCGCCGTCGAACGGCAACACTGCTATTTGCATAAGATCGGTTGGGATGGAGAGAAGTGGATGCGTTCTTATATGAAGAATTTGGGGAGTTTTGATTTTATTTTTTCTTGTAATTTTTTTAATTGATTATGATTATTGTAACATTTGTTTAATGGATATTTTACATTTTTTGGTTGAGTTTGTAACGTTAATTAGGTAATTTATATAACTGTACGATGTGTGTATGATGGTGTACGATCTGTTTTTACTGGGTTCGTACTTTTATTTTAAAAATTCCAGTATCGTACTAGATCATACTAGGTCGTACAAAAAAAATCAACGGATGAGATTAACTGATACGTGTTTTCCTCACGTATCAATCACTGCAAGTATACAATATCCCATTTTGTAGAACAGTGGTTCCGGATATCGATCCACAGGGACCTTGTAGATTCACATGCTAAGTAGTGTCATTATATTATGTAGCCAATCTTAAATAATTGGAATGATGATAAACCCTAGTTTAAAAGCTTGCAAGATCGTAAACATGCATGTATAGAATGTACGTAAATAAAATAGCGAAAACTCAACACGGGAGGGCTTCGATTTAAAAGGGACTTCTAGGGCCAAATCCACCTATGTATAATCAACAACGATCTACAAATTCATTATCTAAAGTCACATTCCTATTCGTTAACCCAGACGTTAAAGTACTCTAACCCCCGTCTCCAATGTAGTGAGAGTCTACCCACAGCTCCGACGTCTCCGTTCAGAACCTGCTATTAAGAGAGCATTTAGGTAAAGTCTTTAAGGGCTATCCGAAGTGGATCACTTCTCCATTTCCACACCCCGAGCTATGTTTTCCTAACTTCAAACAAGAGATCCTCTCTCGAGTTCATTCCTATTTAATATCAATCCGAGAATTCATCAAACAATCAGAAGCATTTAATACATGAAAACATAAGTTTCATAAACAAAATAAAAATACGATAAATAGATAACAGAAATGATGATCAAAATCAATATATACAAGGTTTCATTACCCTAGAAGAAAATGTTCTTAGTTTATAACAAACATAATGTCAAAGGAATGTACACAAGAAATGAAGAACAAAACGTAAAGAAATTGCCTAAGAAAAACCCAAGTCGAAACTCCCATTGATGATTCCCGTGAAGGACTGACGAAAACCGTAAAAAAAATCGAAGTAGCATGAAGAATGAAAGGGTCTTTCTATTTATAGTGAAATGCAAAGCTTTCTCAAGAAGCTTTGCAAAATAACTATCTTTCTCAAAAGTCGTGCCCAGATCGCGATCTGGGTTGGCTGGATCGCAATCTGCCAGCCTCGGGGATTTGCCCACTGCCATGCCAGATCGCGATCCGGATATGTGTATCGCGATCTGGATCTTGATCAAAAAGTCTTATGTCCCAGATCGCGATCCAGAATGTCAGATCGCAATCCTTTTTTTTTTGGGTTGGGATATTCCTGCATTATTTTGAATTATGCATAATTTTGTCATTTCACCTAAGTCAACAATAAAATATCAAATAAGGGGCAATGTGCCTTTTAAAGAATACATTGGGTGATTCTTGCTATTTTTTTTCAATACAATGGTTTTTGTGGCCATTCGAAATTACACAGGGATTATGTGCAAATAACTCAATTAATAAAGCATCTTCAGAAATTTAAAAGAAAAAAAAATAAAATAATATATAGAGAAAATCACCACGCACGTGCAACACATGTGCACCTTGCTAGTATATACAAATATAAAAATCTGGTGGATATATATGGTGCTTCTCTTAATACCTAGAATTCATTAAACTATCGAAATATTAAACATAACTAAAGGTCCTGAGTACTAATTACCACCATTTAGGCCAAAAAAATAAAAAAATTCATATCTACATTACATGCATAATGCTGCTTCAACTATTGAACTTTGGAGATAAACATGAAACTGAAGCTACTCAGATCATTAAGTCAAATAATCGAAGCTTGAATGGCCTTGCCAGCTTTTCCTAGATTGATGTTATTAATTGCGAATTTTGCAAGTTATTGAATGAGAGTGGAGGTATGCTCGATTGTACTAATATTATTTGTTTTGAACGAGTTCCTTCATTATTAATTAAAAAAATCTACTGATCTAGTATATATATCTATATATGTGCCGATTTATTTTCATTAATTAATTTCCATTGCGATTGTTATGAGGCCAATTCAGGGGACTGGACGGGCATAATGGGAGCCACAAATGCTTGTGTCTCATTGACGCATAATATTTCGGAGTAGCAGACGACTATAATCCAACATAATAGCTTTGATAAAGCTAGCTAGCCCTTTTAGGTACGTGAATATTTCCTAGTTGTTCTTCGGATACATTTACATTTATTGCTTATGTGAACATTCAAGCTAAATAACCCCAACGCGTTACATACACTAAGCCAAATTGCATTTCGGGCGACGAAAATTTGCGACGAAAAAGGTTTATTTGCGACGAAAGAATAATTTTGCGATGAATAGTTTGCGACGAAACAGACGCCAAAAAAGGTCAAAAAAACAGCCGTCGCAAATGTCTGCGACGAAATACGAAAAATGTCGCAATTGTTGCGACGTTCCTCATGAAACGTCGCATCATCTTAAATTTTTCGTTACTTGAAAAATTGCGACGAAACGTTCAAGAATCGTCGCAAAATCCGTCACAAATGTGCGACTAAAATATAAAGTCGCAGTTTGTTGCGACATTAATTTGCAATTAATTTCGTCGTATACATTGCGACAAAATCATCAAAAACGTCGCAATATTATATATGTCAATTTTATTATTTTTTGTTGATTTTATTTGATTATTGCTAAATTTATAATTATAAACAATAAATAATACCAATAAAATCATTAAACAACTCAAAATTTATATCCACTGCTTTAAAATTCACATTTAGGTAAAATCATCCAAACATGAATTTAAAATATACAAATTGCTAATGTTGTATCTTTATAAAGATAAATTAATCCTCATTTTCTCCTTCATCTTCATTAAAACTATTTGCAGGTGACGGAAGGATTATGCTGCTCGGACTCATTCTCAATCTTTTGAAAAAACACAAATCACATAGTTAAAGAGTGCTCAATTAATATCAATTTAAAATCAATTACTCTTACCTTCTTTTGCACTTCATCACAAGCATCACTCAGCAGATCAATCTCCACTTCTTTCTTTGCTTGGCAGTTTTGACTAAGAAGTTTCAACATCTTCTGCAAAAGAAAAAAAACTTATATAATGAGTATAAAAAGGCCGATATAATAAATCTATATACATTTTATTGCATAATAATAATAATTATAGCTATAGTGTTAAAAGCTCACAGTATATCATCATTCTTCATAGTTTCACCTAAGTGCTTCTCGACAATCAGCTGAACAAAGGAGAAAAACGTATTTTTCTTCGAGCAAAAAAATCACTTAAATGTATGTTTAGGTATAGAGTATGTCTTAATAACTATATAAAAATCCATCTGGTAAAAATAAAGATTATCCATCTCACACGACTTGTGTCACAATATATGGCGCCTATCTTATAAATCTCAACTGAGGCAAGTTCAATGTCACTTGCCTTCAATAGGACAAATAAGGTGCATGATCAAAGGAAAATTTTCAACAAACTTCAAGTAGTAACATCATTGCTTGTTATTAGAAAGAACATTTTCAACAAACTTCAAATAGCAACATCATTGCTTATAATGAAATTGAAACCTAAACAATTACACATGCATATATCTCGTGTATATGAACATAGCTATACCGTATATGCATAATTGTATACATATTTAATTGCCGGAGAATTGCAGCTCCGTAATAATAGAAAATACATGCTATATGTAAAACAAATATTGTTTAAATCATCAAAAGCATTTAGACACAAGAAACACCAATATTTGTTTCATTTACTTTCTGGAATAATGAAGTCTTTTAAATTCATAATGCAAATCCAAATAAGTAAGAATACATAAAATCACCAAATTTAGAAAGCAAAAAATCAACAGAAAAAGAAGTACTGCATGCTCATGAACATTCCAAACTTTAAATCTTACCAACAAGGTAAAGAGCAAATGCAACGGTGAACGAGTGGTCTGCGGCAGCGAACAATAAAGCTAGAAGAATTGGCGATTCCAATCCATTGAACAAATATCAATACAATAACATTCTAAAAGAAAGAAAAAAAACACAAACTTTTTTTAAAGAATCAGTAGTACAACACCATAAAAAAAATAGTTGGTCTTTTGGAATTGTTAACCGCAATAAATTAATTTTGGAAACAAAACAAACTAATTGCCCCAGTATTAAAGAATTTGAAAACCGAGTAGGAAAACAAAGAGTATGAACAATAACATTCCAAAAGGAAAAAAAACACAAACTTTTTTTTCAAGAATCAGTAGTACAACAACATAAAAAAAAATAGTTGGTTTGTTGCAATTAATAACCGCAATAAATTAATTTTGTAAACAAAACAAAATATTAGCCCCAATATTAAAGAATTTGAAAATCGAGTAGGAAAACAAAGAGTATGAACAATAACATTCTAAAAGAAAAAAAAACACAAAATTTTTTTTCAAGAATCAGTAGTAAAACACCATAAAAAAATAGTTGGTCCGTTGCAATTGTTAACCCCAATAAATTAATTTTGGAAACAAAACAAAATAATAGCCCCAATATTAAAGAATTTGATAACCGAGTAGGAAAACAAAGAGAATGAAGGCAATACCGATTGATTAACGGGTTTCAAGTTTCAAGAATTTGGTGTAGGCTAGCGTCGAGAAGTGCAGTGGTGGCGTCGGCGTAGGTGCGATGGTGGAGGTGGCCTTGGCGGTGTACTCGCGGTGAGAAGACCGAGGAAGAAAACTTCGGTGTGGGCTCCTGGTGCGTCGGCGAAGGGCTGTGGTGGCGTCGGCGAAGGGCTGTGGTGGCGTCGACGAAGGGCGGCGTAGGGTTGTGCAGAGGCTTTGTCAGAGGGTTGTGAGAGAGAAGTAGCGAGAGAGTGAGAGGGATAAAGGAGATGGAGAGAAAATTAGGGCATAAATATTTTTACTAATTAATTTGCGACTTTAAAATAAAAACGTTGCAAGCTTCAACTAAATTGCGACTTTTATTTTAAATACGTCACATCCAAATGTATTTCAAAAAAATGCGGATAATAATATTGCGACGCATTCGAGAAAACGTCGAAAATTTTAGATTTAGAATTGCGACGTTTTTACTATTTTCGTCGCAATAAAAATGGCTAATATATTCTTTATTTTTTCATTGCGACACTTAAGGTAATTACGTCGCAATCTTGCGACGAAATATAAAATGTCGCAACTGGAACGTCGCAACAGCCCCATTCAATTTGCGACGGTTATGAAATAACGTCGCAATATGACTTTATTAAAAAACAATTTAATTTTTATTTTGTATTGCGACGTATTCTTCTATTATCGTCGCAATGTAGCGAAAATTTTTTTATTTTCGTCGCAATAATTAGTGGAAAATTTTAGTGTTTAAATGTGCGACATTTGTTGGCGACGATATTAGTATTCGTCGCAAAAATTTATATAAATTTATTATTTACATTTATTTGCGACGATGTTGTTTAAAAAAGTCGCAAATTGTGCGACGAATATGTTTTCGTCGCAACAAAAAAGTCGCCTGAAATGAAATTTGGCCTAGTGATAAGGCAAGTATTGTAATTGTATAATTGTTCGATTTTCTGCAAGGGTCTATTAGATATAACCCCCTTAAACATTCAAATAATAGGGGTAGACCCAAACTTAAATTTGCCATTTTGATAAAAACCCAAACTTTTCTAAATTACATAATTACCCTCAATCAAATCCCACAAATCCCGTTACTTTACCTTTTGAAATAATATCAAATCTCTCCCTATTTTCCCGTTAAAACACTATCACCACAAACCCACTATCAAAAAAACTGTAAACCCTCCCAAAACCAGAAATTTGCACGGCCGTGGATCGGCGATTTTTCTGCACTCCGACCAAGCCTCCGTAGGTACGTCGTCGCCACTCGCTGAATCGCTATCATCCATCGATTTGTTGATATGTTTTGGCTAAATCGACTATCACGTTTGTGTAATTGCAGATCTGTTATAATCGCATACCGAATTCGAGCACTAAATCAGTGATATTGCAACAATTGATGGGCAGGACATCCACCAGAAGTGATATCGTCGTTGGCCGCCGTCGCCGCCGCCGTCAGTGCTCCAATCTAGGGTTACTCAAATCTAGGATTACTCAAATCTAGGGTTTTGATAATTCTTCGGCCTATAGTTGATTAACGTGATGCATAGTCGAATTACATCTGTATTAATATACTATCCCATATCATTTAATAGACTATCCCACTGTTATAATTTTACTATGGATCTCGTTAATCGACTATGGGCCGAAGAATCATCAAAACCCTAGAATAATAATAATAATAATAATAATAATAATAATATATATGGAAACTGAATAATATGTTTGTTTGAAATACTAATCAATTAGGGTAATTTTCCTTATTATATGAAAACGATTAGGGTAAATAATAATATACATGAAAAAATAATAATATATATGGAAACTGAATAATATGTTTGTTTGAAATACTAATCAATTAGGGTAATTTTCCTTATATCATGTAATAGACTATCTTATTGATCAAATTAGACTATGGATCTCGTTACTCGACTATGGATCCCGTATTATTCAACCACATAGTATATTAATAATTTCAGTATAGTACATTAATCTGCTATGATAGTATATTACGGTTATAGTAGTGATATGAAATTGTGTTACAAACAATATACCACTGAAATGACAAGAACATTGAGAACAAAACCAACGTAAAGTATTCCAACATAACCTATAAAATAGTACATTAATAATCTCATAATTTCAATCTAGGATTTTGATAAAATACATAAAACACATCATAACACAATCAAACCAATATGTCGAGTTAAAAAACTCTACTACATTAATAATCTCATAATAGTATAATAAAATGATAATGGTAGTATCATACGGTATTCATAATAGTATACTACTGTATTACAACGGTTTAACACTTAACCGAAGTTACCGAGCCATTACGTCGTAAACACCTCTTTATAGCAACCAACCCACCAAACCTCAACAAAATCCGTACGAAATTCGCCATCGAAAAAACCTAAAATCATGAAACAAAATTAAAATTCAGAATACTAAAAAATGATTAAATAGACTGCAAATACATTTGAATGACAATACATTAATATCATCAAAAATAAACTTAAAATGCAAAATCCATACGCTAAATTAAAAAAGAATACTACGAAATATATTTTAATGTACAACCCAGCACCCTAAAATCTGCTATTATAAACAAATAAACCAACTATCGAACGGGATCAAACTCATGAACTCGACCATAGCGGACAGTTATTTCAATTATTGCATAAACTAACTACGAAGCTCATATAAAACAACTCTGGTCCGATATGCGTGAACCATCATCTTCTAACTTTGTCAATCCTCTTCCAAACAGACTTCATCCGCCAAAAACAACGATGTATATATGACGGAAATTTTGTTAACAAAACGTTCTACTTAATAGAATCAAGTACCAACACAACTCTTAAAAATGTCTAACCACCGTACACAACAATCCTGGACATTGAGCGAAAAATAAAAACGAAAAAAAACGCATTCATACCCGCTTAACAACGTCCACCAATGAAAGCTCAAATCCGATCCTATTTCCACGACGGTGCAGAAATCTTCAAAGACGATAAAAACCGCTGGAACGCTGAAGAGAATCTTCAAAAAATATTGTACACGATTTGATATAACGGCCAATGATCTCACGTAAATTTATTCCGTGATTTTAAGCAACGTATCAGCAAATCTCAAATCACGTAGTAAAGGAAATAAATTCGGTTTAGAAATAAAACAGGGGTATTAAAGGGAAATTATATAATATATTTTGCCAAGTTGGCAAAATTGGGTGTATCTCAAAAAGGGAAAAAATAATTGGATCTACCTCATTAGAAAATATGAACAAGGGGGTTATCCCTAATAAACCCTTTCTGCAATTATGTCCATTTCTTTATGTAAATAACCCAATATCGGTTCACAGTCAATTAACACACCTTTCACCATCGAGAGATACGACAATGGAGGATATCTATGCTGCTCAATGTCATAACTCATAAACAGCACAAATGACTTGCAAATTTGCAATACAAATAAGATTTTTTCGCCAATTTAATAATTATTAAAGACATGGTTCAGGGTGTCTAGGAAATTATTAAACCCAATAATTGCAAGGTGGGAGGTGTTTAGGCATTTTTCCCAAGTAATATAAGATACAAACATGTGCAGAAAAACGAGGATTAGAAGAGATCGACAATATTGATCGCTTTTTACTTTAAAATGAAATTCTGGATTGATTTGCAGAAGAAATAACGTACCAGTTGTGATGTATTCGTAAGCAAAAACCGAAACTTTGGTTGTTTGTCCAGCAAGAAGGTCAACAGACATGCAGCTAACTTTAAATCAATGAGGTGGTCTTGTAATATGTTTTCTGCATGTAGAGCTAAAATACCAGAGCAAGTATTTTATGCTAAAACACAACGAGAATAGTCGGGGGAAAAAAAAAAGTAATTTTATATCGTGTTACAAGCCAACAAGGTTTCAGTTGAGAAACTCAATCTGAATTCAATCAATTTACGAAATAACATCTGATTAGATGAAACCCTAAATTCCAAAGACATGTTGTGACTCCTATTATCACACATCAAGAATTAACAATCAAATCAAAATTAAATGAATACGTATAAAATTAACGAACATGCAGACATAGACATGAATAAAGTCCAGCTATTACAAAAGCAAACTAACTCCAACAGAAATAAAACAAGCACGCAGGAAGTACAAAAAAACGAGTCACAACTACATGCATAGTTCAAGATAAACAAAACACATTCAATTGTATACCATTGGATATAAAGAAAGCAAGAATTTATCAAAAAGAAAATAATGGCATACACGGTACACCTAGGGAAGGCCTCTTGCAATGAGATGATAATGCAATAAATGATTAAAAATATTTAAAGATAGAGAAAATTAATTAGAAAGCAAAAAAAAAAACCAAATACAGCCTACTCCCTAATTCCAAAAAAGCGAAAAGACCGAGGAAGTAAGAAAAATCGACGGCAACTAACTTTGTTCGAAACAAAATTAAAAGGAGTTTTTTGCTTGAAAGAGAAACTCTTAAGCTTTTCAATCAACGCAGAATGATAGAAGTCTTGCTTACTGTTTAAGTTCTTGCATATATAGTATAGAATTGATTCTATTGTCGTCATCAAATAATGGTCATCAAATCTAATGTTATGCCTCACGTAATTAGCCCAGCTCAATCTGCAGCCCCTCCACAAATTTTCAGACCTGATATATAAGACCAACTCAATAAATGAGTAATAACACAAAACAACGTACATATACATATACACACCCAAATTAATCTAGTCCACTTCTCATTCTATTATGTTATATATTATTAACAAGCATGTTAAATGTGGTGTTGCCATTTCGAATAGTAGTCAATACAAGAAAAGTTATTCCTATGCAATGTCAATCTAGTAATATTTGTAAATTCTATGACAAGGCTAATTCACCTCTATATTCTAACAAAAAAATTACTTACTTCCTTAAATATGAGCACACTTCAACATAGTTTTCCATAATAAAGAAAATGAACATTAAAACTAATAAACATATAAAAATTAATATAGCGTAAATTACATTGTGTTCGTATCCGGTAAATTTTCCAGTCAACGGCCTTTTGTTTACTCATTTCACCTATCATTCGGGCATCCACGAGTCATCATCCACTTCTATTTTATTGATTGGCTTATGCACAAAATGTTAAATAAAATTAAAATTTCAAAAGTGAAGCCTCCATTCACAGTTGACAGGTCATTGTTTCCATGTCCAAATCTCTAATTCTATTCAATTGCCGCAAGCAATAATTAATTAATTTAATACAACGTAGATAGCAGGATATATATGCGACAAAATGACCCTTGCATGCAAGGATAAAATAGATACAAGAGAAGGCATACCTTTGTTGCACCACCTAATTTCGCTTTTTTCTGCTTCGAAGGTCCACAAGGCATCACAGAACCTTCTCCAAGTTGTTCTCGCTCCATGTTCTGTTCCCAAATAAGTTGAAGTACAAAAGTTGATTAAAATTAAGCAAAACCATATATGAAAATCTATGGTAACAGCATGATAAATCCATGATGCAACAAATAAATAAAAAGATTTCACAAAATTATATATATATATATATATATATATATATATATATATATATATATATATATATATATATATATATATATATATATATATTCCAAGATGACACAAATAGTAGAGGTCGGAACTTGGACATCATAAAAATAAATCAGCAAGTGTGTGCAAAAGGATAGCAAAAACTGTTTCTTATATTTCCGAAATTATGAGAAAAAAAGAGCATTTTGGGTGCACAAAAAATATAAATTAGGAAAATATTTCTACACACGTAAAATAGTTTGAGTGTCTAAAGCAATAAATAGATGCATGAATTCAACTTTTACGAATGTAGGCGATACAAGGAAATTTATTCCTATGCAATGCCAATC